ACTGTGTGGAAAGTTGCTTCACTTTGACTAGTCAACCAACCATGACAGTGTCTTGCAGAAGAAACCAAGGATGGAGAACGGATTCATCTTGTGAGAAGAAAAGAAGCAACCACATGTCCCTAGAAAGGTGGAAATGAAGGCCCCTGGAATGAATTAAGGCCGCAAATAAATGGGAAACCGAGGAGGAGGGAAGGAAACAGGATTGTGAGACAATGGGGGAGATGAATGGAAGAGGGGTGGTCAGAGTAAAACAAATACAAGAAAAGGTAATAGAAATATCAGGGTCCAATCTTCTCTAAGAAAGAATCAAATAAGGGAAGTTGAAACGATGACAATCAAAAGCATGATCATCTACAGTACATGAAGGTCGAGGCATACCGACCCCTGAATGCAAATGCTTCTTCAAAATGACTTGCATGAACTGCAATATCCAGGGAGTGAGGAAACACTAAAATAATGACCCAGAGGCTAGTCCCTGAGAAATATAGGAAACAGGAGATAAGAATAGAACTTATAGCTGAATAATCAAAACCACCAAAAGAGAAAGAGGTCTGGGCAAGTCCCACAAAATGACACATGACTGATAGGCTTATTCAGGACAGGGAAAAAGGTTAACCAAATCCAAAACTTCCTGACCACTGAAAACCATGATGGGACAGTCACCAGTTTATTCTGTTTGTTGCATGAAAATGGTCAACTCCTGATGGAACAGAGCAATCACTTTACTGGCTGAGAACTGTGGTTCCGATCCGTTGGACGTGGTCAGTAATTCCCCTGCAGCTGACATAGTCATGACTACTGGAAACTGAGTGCATAACTCTTGAAATTGAAAGAGAAGATAAAAAATATAATTTGTTACTCTCCACAGAAGAGAATAAAAATGGTAAGGAACAATGTAATTAAGGATTAAAAATTAAGAAAGTAAAACACTTGTGGATAAGTCAATCAAACCACGAGTGAAAACGTCTATTCAACAGGACTACTAATTGAGAAGGTGGTAGTTATGTAGTGTCACACTTATATTGGTGGAGGGTTGCTGCATAATCATTTGCATGTTAGTATGCAAGGCTAGTGGCTAGCAAAAATTTGCACATATAGAGGGCAGTATACATTGAAAAACCTTTTTGTGAGACAAGGTAAGTTATTGTATCGAAATATCTCTTCAGTTAGTGTCACATAGATCTGTCAAATGATCTTTTACAAACAATATTTACAAGTTTCTGTAGTTACAATCTATAGTACATGCACTTAACAACAAACTATTAAATAATTTGACAAATTTTAAAATCCATGCCCCTTTACAGATTGTTGCACTAAACAGAACAATTATCTTTCAAAAGATATTGCTCTGTGGAAGCTTCGTTAATTATCTGTACATGCATATATTTTTGCAATAAAAACACAATCAAATTAAGTTTTTAATACCAATATCTTCTGCTTACAGTTTTAAATGTAAATGGAATACTTCAGTATATAAGAGTTCTTATAAGTAAGATTTATATTTTGTGCAAAAGGATTAAAATAGCATAGTTTACTACTAACTTCTAGCACACTGTTGTATCACTCCAGAAAAGTTATATAGGCCATAACAGTACTGAAATCAAATCGTAATGTATGAACTTTTTTATAATTACTCCTCCCCCATTAGAAGATATGAACCCTCACTGAAAAATCCATTTGAGAGCATCTCTTTAATGAATTCATCACAACAGGTTATCATATACTTTTAATAAGGCAAATTTTATTTCAATAACAAATATTGTCACAAAGCCATAAGAATCTCGTTACTGTTAATATATGCTTGGAACTGGCAAATTTCAATTAACAGTTACCAAAAGTTTGTTATAAAATCTATTATTAGAAACAAATGAAAGGCAGATTAAACAATTTATATAATGTTGGCTAAAAGTACCATAATTTCCAGTATTATATTTTCTGTTTTTAGCATTAACAGCTTTTTCTTACTTTTTGATGAACACATTATATCCAAATATTTTCTAGATCATATTAAGTTTCTGAATGATTGCAAAGGCATTATACAAGTTTAAAGTACTACATTTTAAAATACAACAAAATGACAGATGAGTGCTTATACACATGCTCAGAATGTGCAAAAAGAAAAGAAAAACTATTACATAATTATATGAAGTAGTACAGTATTTAAACTGACACGCACACAAATTCTATTTTGCCATAGTAGAGAAGTGCACATTCAGAATCACAATTATTAAAAGTGCAGAAAACCATGAATCCATTAATGACTACATTACACAATCCTGACAAATGTCACTTTATGCTAACCCTTAACACTAGAAGTCTATGTGAAAAATGACAAGGTGATATGTTTTGTTTTAATGAAACTACTAAAAATACTTTTAATATAGTTCTAATTTGAGTTCATTAATTATTTTGTACGAAATATTTTCTTAAATCCAATAAAGCTTTTCCCAACACAAGTCTACATGGTTCCAATATTTATATTTTTCATTTCACCTCTGTATGTTAAAAATATATAATTATATTTCCAGAGCATATTTCATTTTTTTACAAATGTGTTACCTCATCTGCATTAATTTTTTTTTCAAAAAGGCCAGATAAAAAAAACAAACATTATACATCAATGTGTGAAACTTTTGTGGATTTATTCTGACAATGGATTTTTACTTTCTTACAAAAAAAAATACTTGCATAAACTTGCTGGATATAATTATAAAACATTGCTACAACTAAACTGCATCATGATACCAAGATACATTTCTTAGGTATATACATTAAAGTAGCTCAACTACAGTAACCACTTCTGTTTCTCCACAGTTGTCAGAAAAATAACATATAATGTAAACCACCAAATCACACAGCAATTATGATACATAAGTCAGAGTTCTGACTTTAATCCTTTTCTTACAGACTAGAATGATAATATTAATACAAATAAAAACTTATCTATGCTTTATGACTCAAACTTTTAGTCTTTATACTTACCCTTTCATGTCAATTGTGCAATATTTAAATTTATTTAAATACTTTATTGCAAAGATTTTTTTTTTGTAATGTGCCAAGTTTCAAAATTTTGCACCAGCTTTTCTTTTAAATTTTTAATAAACTTATTTCATTTTCCCTTGTAAAGCTTAGACAAAAAGCTAACTATGTCAATTACTATCCTTAGAGTTAATGTCATTACTATTACATAAAGTCACTTTTGTTCAACATCTTATTCCTCTTTTGTACCATGGTAGTTCAAAAACTATGAAAGGTTATTAAAGAAACTTCTAACTACCACCTTTAATATGAAAACTTATACAATACAGTTAAAATAGGTCCTAAAAGGGGGAGGGGAATTGGAGGACACACTCTAGACTATTCAGCACTGATAAACTATTATCTGAAATCCATGTGGCACTAGGAGCTCAATGCATGACTCTAAATAATACAATCATTGAACACTCTTTACATGAAAGGTTTTTATCCTCATTTTCACAAAATTGTTAACAATTTATCTAATACATAAAAGTATCTTGTAATGGACCAAGCAAATAAAAAAAAACACTTATTATATATATATATATATATATATATATAAACCAAAAGCTATGTATATCACTATTTACTTATTTAATTACTTATAGTAATTTAGTTAAATTAACTTACTTTTGTACTATAATACGTAACTT